GCTAAAGCCTAAGTTACAGGCTGACTTCAGGTCTGGTTTAGATCATTGTTACTTATAAATTATATATTTTTCTGGTATAAATCTGCTGTTTTTTACATGATTGTTGAATGAAATTAACATAATTAGTCATTTATTGTAGAAACATGACCGATAATCTGTGAAACAGATCCGGTTCAGCTTGCTGTTTGTATGTTTAGTTTCTATGGAGGCTGTGAGCTGTTGCCCTTTTAGACACCATTTTTTGCTCCTCCATGCTGTCATAAATGCTACCAGTGTACGGTATGGGCGGGACTCAGTCTAGTGATATTTAAGTCAATGCACAAGATTTATTTTCATCAGTGTTGCATTAATTTTTCACCAAACTCTTTCATTGATGATGGTAGAGTCTGACCTTCTCCAGCACATCCTAAAGATCATCAATAGACTCTGTGGAGCCAATCCATGTGTGAAAATGATGTCTCATGCTCCCTGAAACACTCTTTCACAATAAGAGCCCTAAAAACATGTACAATAGGTTGCCTCTAGGCCTCCCTTGAAAAAAAGAGATCTGAGATCTCAGTGGGACTTGCCTGGTTAAATAATGGTGAATAAATAAAAATAAATAAATAAGAGCTTGATGAATCCTGGCATTGTCATCTTGGAATATGGCCGTGCCTTCAGAGAAGAAACAACGCATTGATGGAATAACTTGGTCATTCTATATATTTTCAGGTAGTCAGCTGACCTCATTCTCTGAGCTCATACTGTTGCTGAATCTAACTAAACCTGACCACCTGCAGCAGCCCCACATCATAGACCTTAGTTAAATCCAGGTGGACACTTTTTTCTTTGGCCGGGCAGTGTATTTTAAATTTGATTTCACTTTGACATTGGAGGGTTTATTAAATTATTTATGAGTCAGTTTACATTGACCACGGTTGGTTTGACAGCAGTAAAAGCATAAAACATCTAAGTGGGTGAATACTTTGATAGGTACTATAGTTTGCTACAATTGTGCTCCCCTGACAAAGCACAGCAAAAAGAGTACTCATCTCCTTGTTTGACTGTTCTAATACAAAACAAACACAGAACCCATCTCCAGATACTACATTTGATCTATGCATTGTGTTTGGGATCTTTATGTTTTGATGTTTCATGTACGGTCAGATTTTTCTAACCTCATCACAACATCTCATCATCTACTGGATTTGGAGTCTGGTCTATTGGTTTCCAATTCATAAAAACTTTGCCTTTGTCCCTCTTTTTCCCCTCATCAGTGCTTGTTTTTACACCCACATGTTTGTCTCCCCTCCAGTTAGTTCTCCAGTGGAGCTGCTGATCAGTCAGACTCTCTGTTGGGTCCATGATGATCTGGACAAGGTGGACTTCTCTACTTACTTGCTCAAAGTCTGCGGTCGGGAGGAGGTTCTGCAGAAGTGAGTCTTTCTACAATGTTAGCTTCTGAGAAACATTTATTTTTCCCCCATGGAGAATTAATATCTGTTTTGTAACATTCTTGTCTTTCCTCTCAATCTCTTTCTTAGTTTGTCACTTTTAATCTCGACAGCCTGTCTTTTACAAACAGGACTGGGTGTTTTTGCACACCTCCCTTTGACCTCCTGCACCACCCCTAAACTCAGATACACAGGAACAATCCTTACTAACCCTTAAAGCCTCCAGTAAACCTAAATCTGCAGTTTCCTATTTAATCTTTAACTATTGGATCTGTTAAATGGAATATTTTATCATTTAATGAAACTTGTCTTTAAAGTTTAAAAGGAGCTAAGCTTTTATTGCCCATAGTGTGTATAATTCTCATATTACATGAGCAAATCTAAAAGCATGTTGTTAATTTAAGTTTATTTTTGCTTTTAATCCTATACATGCATCCTAAACATGTAGTTTAGCTCTACAAGTATAGTACACAAAGAGCCAATTATTGGTTCAGAGATTTTTACCAGCTGCATCATTGGTGCAGTAATAATTATAATAATTACAGCTCTGTCTCTGCAAGTTTGGAAATATGTACTTTTGGTTAAAAATGACAAATGTTTACAGTTTTTGCTTTTAGGAGTCTACTTAATAAGTTCTAATTAACACTTGTATTTTGTGGATCTTTTTTTTACAATTTTTATTGTGTTTAAAAATAATTATTATTTAAAAACTGTGGCGTTTGAGCCAATACTGGCAGATGTTCAGTCCAAGACTACAGAGGTTTATTTATATGTCGCAAAGAGACAAAACATTTTCTGTGACGGCAATAAGAGGGCTAATTCTCACTGACTAGTTACTGTTCACGTTGTTTGTGCCTGCTGTTAATAACTTCCCAACAAATCTTGATTTGTGTGACCCTTGGGTCTACTTCTTCCCCTGTGCCACAGTAAACACAGCCTGGGCAGCCATGAGTACGTCCAGAACTGCCGGAAGTGGGAGAATGAGATCACTTTACAGTTACTCTCTCACTCAACCATGAGGAGGGACTTGGCACGCAGCGTAAGTCACTTCAAAAATTTAAAATCTGAGATCTTTGACTGAAACATTAGAAAAGTCAAACTTACCAGAAAGATCTGCCTATTTCTTAAGATAATAAGAAATATTTGTCCCTGCTGAAAAGTGACAATTTAATCTTCTACTAGCAAATAAATGGATATAATGGGTAAATCAATCAGAATGTTTTTTTGTTTTCCTCCAGGAAGAAGATGACAACTCTCGAATAAACTTGGAGAAGCATCTTGGCCAAGTGGAGAGGCCTTTTAAAGAAAATGTCACAAGGTATCAGGATTTTCCCTGGTGGGAAGTTTTTTTTTTTTGTTTTTTTTTTTGTTAATAAAGACGGAAGCTTTTCTCAAAGAGGTGTTACTTTTTTTAGTCCTCTAGAGAAGGGAAACTCAAACATTTTGGGTCTGGGGACCCCTTACAAGGGCAAAAAAAAAAAGAAAAAAAAAATTCCAGGGACCCCCTCATAAACCCCATGCTGTTTTAAAAGATTATTTACTGCCATTTCAACCTCTAAATGCCATGGGAATTTATTTTTATTTAGTTTATTATGTTTGCTTTATTAGTTCATTGTTCCCCATGCCTTTTTAAAAAGTAAAAATCAAATTATCATTTTAGTAAAAGTTTTTGAGGTCCCCCAAGATACCTCTCGCAGACCCCTGGGGTTCATGGGACCCCAGTTTGACAACTTCTGCTCTAAAGCTTTTGTTCGAATTAATGTGCTGATTTGATTATTTGCACATTAACTCCATTTTTCACACATTAGCACAGAGATCTTCAGGAAAATGTGCAGACTGTTTGATCCAATTGAAAATACTGTGGTGTTGAGACTCACACTCATATTAAATCTTTGGTTATAAATATGTAGTAGCACCATCTGAGCTCAAAGCTGTGCACGTCGGCAAACTACTGATGCTAAAATCTGCACCCAGTTGTCCTCTCACGTGAACTCTCTGTAACATCTTGAAAGTAATGAAGATTTGTGTGTAAATGGCATCTGATTTCTTGCAGACAAGGCCTTGCCGACTATTTGGAAGGCTATCACAATCAAGTCAACATCTGCTTACAAAATGAGGTACGTGTGATCTCTGCACAAATACAAACTAAGAATCAGGCTTTCTGAATGTGACTTTAAAGTGAAGCGAGGACTTAAACTAAACCATCACTCACACCATTTTTAAAAGATATTCTAGCCTTTTTAAAGTGGGGTTCTATGAAAAGGTCATGAACTTGTTGTAGATAACTCTTTAAACAACTTCAGATTTCCCTTTAACTTGGATGAAAACATGGAGATTTACTGTAACCCACTTTCTAAAAACTATGCATGTAATGTTTTGCAGACTGAGGGCGATGTTTTTGAGCAATAATCTGCTCTGTGTTTGTGTCTCCAGAGTACCCAGTACAAGACAGTGGACCGGGTGGTGCAGTGTGTGAAGAACTTGTGCCTCGCTTTAGACGAGGTGGAGACTCAGGCCGTTACAGAGGCTGTCAAAAGACTTCGTCACTCTGTCAATTTACCCAGGACACACTCACCCAAGGTGGGTTTTTGACTAGTACTGCTACCAAGTCATTGATGGTGGTGTTAAAATATGTGAATGTCATTTTTAAGATGACTGTGCTTTGCTTTCTAGTTAGGGTCCCCATCACCTGGTCAGCCATCAATTAGTAAGTTATGTTCATTCATGAAATTTAGTCTGTGCTACCAATGTGTAATATTATTTTGATATGTCTACAAGCTCTCACGCTGATCTCTGCCTCCCAACAGGTGGCTCCAGTCCGGTGGAGGAGAGCATCGCTTTGTTGACGAAGGCCGTCTACGACCTGGCCAAGCTCTACCTGCGCTCATTCTGTCCTCCATCAGTGTCTTTCGACTCACCTCCTTTGCCCCAGGCCGCAGCAGAGAGTGAAGAGGTGGAAGGGAGGAGCTGCAAAGAAGCTTCTGGCACCACAGACCACCTTCAGTTTACTCTGTTTGCTTTGCACGGCATCCCAGGAAACTGGGTCAGCAGGTAAACCCTCAGGCTATCACACTGCTGAACAACTTAAAGGCTGGGGCACATACTGGTGTGTAAATGTTGATTACAATGTTTTCTGTCTGTCTGTCTGTCTATTTACTCGCCCACCCACCATTATTTTTATTTACTCTGTTGTTTATTATTAAACTATCTAGTCAGTAAGAAAGTGGTTATGTCTCAATTAAAGGCTTGCAGCCGATGTAGGCCACATTTGTCGGCTGCTTACGTCACTGCCCCGCGCCGTAGGCTATCCCAATTCATACCTACTGATGTGGCCGAGAAAACCACAAAAACATAGGCTGCATTATGGTTGGGCATAATCATATCATGTGCAATTAATCAGAAAAACATTAATCGATTATGTTTTGGCACTTGATGATTAATACGATTAATGCATCCAGTCAGTCCACTTGGTGCTCCTCTCTGCTTCAATATGACGAAAATTACAATATGTTCTGTAATTTGTTTATCTATCAACACAATTTAAAATTTGAAGTACAGCCTGAAGTCTGTAATTTTTACACAATTTGGAACAGATTTTTATGAAGAGCAAATATTTCCCACTGAATTGGTCATGTGACGAGGACATAAGGGTGTCCAGGGACTACAGGGGATTAATCGTCAAATTAATCGTTATCGGCCAAATACCACAATTAATTGTGATTAATTATTTTTGCCAATATTGCCCAACCCTAGGCTGCATCCGAGTATCCTATGCGGCTGACAATATCCTAGGATTCATTGTGCCATCAGCAAACTAAACAGAAAAACAAAGAGGTCACACAGACATGTCATCCGTAGACTAGACCGTCTCATTTCACAGACATTTGTGCAGCCAGAGTCTTACAGTAACTAAGTACATTCACAGTACTTAAGTAGTTGTTTTGAGGAATTTTAATTTTACCAATTATTTTTAAATAACTACTTTTACTTTTATTTTGTCACATTTTAAAGTTAAAAATTATACTTTTTTACTTTAAAATGTAACATCTACTCGTTCAAAGAAATATATTTCTGCTCTAAAAAATGAAGTGTTGAATTAACTCAACAAAGTCATGTCAACTGGCTCCACTAAGACTAGTTGAGTAAACTGAGCAAAGAATATACATATATTGCTCAGTTTACTCAAGCTGGCTTTAGGGCTGTCACAATTAGTCGACTAGTCACGATTATCCATCCATCCATCCATTTTCTGTACACGCTTATTCCTTTTCAGGGTCGCGTGGGTCACTGGTGCCCATATCCAGCAGTCAGTGCGAGGGGCGTGGTACACCCTGGACAGGTCGCAAGTCCATCACAGGGCCACACATAGAGACAAACGAGACAAACAACCATTCACTCTCTCACTCACACCTAGGGACAATTTAGAGTTATCAATTAACCTAACAGTCATGTTTTTGGTCTGTGGGAGGAAGCCGGAGTACCCGGAGAGAACCCACTCATGCACGGAGAGAACATGCAAACTCTACCCAGAAAGGTCCCCGGACCGGGATTTGAACCGGTGACCTTCTTGCTGAGAGGCATCAGCTCTACCAACTGAGCCACCGTGCCGCCTAGTCACGATTATATCAACTATTAAAATCATCAACGACTAATTTAATAGTTGATGCCTCGTTTTTTTCTAACTTTGTATTTTTTTATAATAGTCGGCTAATCGCTGATTACTCGACTATTAAAATAATCATTTGTGGCAACCCTAATTACCACTCTACTGCGCATGTGTGTCAAGGACAGAAAGGCAGATGTGGCAGTGGAAGGTGCCGCAGCAGTTTGGAGAGAAAAACAAAGTTAGAAAAAACGACGCATCAACTATTAAATTAGTTGACGATTTTAATAGTCGACAATAATCGTGACTAGTTGACTAATCGTGGCAGCCCTACCCTGGCTTAAGTGGAACCAGTTTGGTTCAGTAAATTCAACAGAAAATTTCTTAGAGAGTGTGTGAAAGTACTTTTACTTTTACTTTCCCGATTTTTGTGAACAGTCATGAGTTTTGCTTGAGTAGTTTTCTCATCAGTGAAATTTATTTTTTCATTTTCTGTTCATGTAATTTCACTTTTATTTAGTTTTTTTTTTCAAGTACTTTATAGACCTCTGCCTACGGCCACGTAGCGTGTGGTCAACGTGCATCGTGGTTTAGTGTCAAAGATATTAGGTTAAATCTCACTGGGCTGCGAATGTTTAAAAATTTGTTGTAGACTCAAAGTTCTGATAAAATCAGGTTTTTATTTTTTTTATTTTTATTTTTATTTTTTTTTGCTGTCTCATTGAACTCTTTGCTGAATTCTACATTCTGAGTGACCAGTTTGTGAAAAGCACTGCTAATTTTTTGTGCACGGCTTACAAAATTGTATTCCAGGTCAGGTGTGTATTTTTGTTGCCCACCTCCAGCTACATTGTACCCACTTTGGTTTGTGTTGCACTCATCTCAGTTGCGACCCTCACATTTATGATTTCCATTTTTTAAAGTGTAACTTACCCCCCTGTGAAAAGATAACTCCGCCCCAAGGCGAAATTTGAAAAATG